GTGGTTCAGGGGCCACACGTGGTTCAGGGGCCACACGTGGTTCAGGGGCCACACGTGGTTCAGGGGCCACACGTGGTTGGGGGGCCACACGTGGTTGGGGGGCCACACGTGGCTGAAAGGAAACATTTCTGTGTTCAGATTTAAATCCGGTCGGAGCAGCTCTGCCGTACATCAAACTGAAGTTCACTTGATTCAGTCAGCGTCCGGCCTCTTGTTGTGGTCGTCTCTGAGCTGAGCGCAACATTTAGCAACATTTACAGCAACTTGCTGAGAGCAACACACAAAACAAAGGTTTTCTAACATTTAGCAACATTATTGAAATGAAACGAATCATTCTAAGAACAATGAGAATTAAAATGCTGCTATATGAAAAAAATAAAAGTTTCAGTAAATGAAAGACATAATTAATAATATATTATTATTATTATTATTATTATTATTATTATTTTTATTATTATTATTGTTGTTGAAGACATAGATACGTATATTGGAGAAATTTCACTGAGTCACAATTAAATCTCCAACAAACTGTCGTATTATTTTATGTTCGCTCAAATAGTTTACCGGTAGACATTTTTTATCATAAAAAATAAAATGTGCTTTAAAATGTTAAAGCTAAATTAAATATGTTCTTTATTTATCATTGAAAAATAGATGTGCTTTATTTTATTTTTTCATTCTACCTTTATTTAAACAGGTTAGTCCCATTGAGTCATTTACAAGAGACACCTGAATTTATAAATTTAATATAAGCGTCATTATTTCTATAAATATAGATGGGATATCTTTTATATTTAAATATTATCCAATAAGGTTTTTTTTGTCATTTTCTTTGTCCTAAAATGTTTAAAAACACTGATAAATGTCAACAAACATTTTTAATGTTTAATGTATTTAAAACCTATTTGCAGCTAAATGTTTGAGTGCACAATCTTAATTTTGTAGTTTTTAATTTAATTTATTTTCCATTTTGAAGTGCTGGTCATGGTCATTTTATATTTTGGGAGCAAACAGGCAGAAAGAGCTCTTTGACCTCTGACCTTCCGCAGCCTGCTGCTGTGCGGAGAAGATGATTATTACCACGAGCGCACCAGAGGCATGTGCACGTACGATGACTTAACAAGACATTTGAATATGTCCACTGTGGTGTTTTAGCTGACACAATATTTAAACTCAGTTAGAGCTAAATGTTTTTTTTCTCAATACGAGTGATTCAGTTCATTCGTTGAACCTTTATTTCGACAGGTAGGTCCCACTGAGCCTCCAGGACTCGTTTACAACAGAGACCTGGTTCAACAAAGAGTGACGACAACAACAAACAGTTATAAACAGTCATACAAATTTATTTATTTTACTAAAAATAAAGAAAAGTAACTAAAAATGTCAACTTTGATCTTAAATATTGTCGTGAATCAAAATGATTTCCGTCCATCTTTAACCCGCTTCTTCCATTTTGGGTCACGGGGGTCGCCGGTGCCCGTGTCCCGCAGTCTCAGTGCGAGGGACGGGGGACGCCCTGGACGGGTCGCAAGTCCATCACAGGGACAAAAATGATTTAAGTAATAACATCTGATTGGTTTCCAGTCTGTCCTGAGTTTTAAAAAACAAACTTTTTAACAGAGTGACAACGTCGTGTCTCATTCATATCTGGACGCTAAAATAAAATAAGCATAAAAAAGTGTTTTGTGTGAACCCGTAATGTTGGTGTCATGAACGGAGCTGCAGGTGAGTCACTCCACGGACGCCGTTCGATGCCAAGTTATTGCAGCAGTATTGGACATGTGTAATGAAGGAACAGCAATCCTCAGTGTAAGGAATTTAAATCAAACCTAGTTTTATGTTCATTCGTTATTTTTTATTCACACTAAATCTTTACTTCGTCAAAAATCTGCTTGACTGCAAAAGCACAAGTAATTTAATAGAAATTACACGGTGGCACAGTGGATCAGTTGGTAGAGCTGCTGCCTCTCGTCGAGAAGGTTGCCGGTTCAAATCCCAGTTCAGGGGCCTTTCTGTGTGGAGTTTGCATGTTCTCTCTGTGCTGCGTGGGTTTTCTCCAGTTTCCTCCCACAGATCTAAAACATGCATGTTAGACTGATTGGTAACTCTAAATTGTCCCTAGCTGAGAGAGAGAGTGAATGGTTGTTTGTCTTGTTTGTCTCCATGTGTCCCTGTGATGGACTGGAGACCTGTCCAGGTGTCCCCCGCCTCTCACACAGGATAGCTGGACATGGCACCAGTGACCCCCACAGCTTGAAAAGGAAGAAGCGCGTGAACATGATGGATGGACAGAAATTACATCAACCAGTAAAAGGTTATAGAAAACGATACCCATAAAATCAGCATTTTTAGACAATGTGCAATATTTAAGATATTTAGGATATTTAGGATATTTAGGATATTTAGGATATTTAGGCAGCACAAGTAAAATTATTTGCAAGTAAAAAAAGACAAATAAATTAAGTAACAAATTTTTCAATTTTATTTTAAAACCATGAAACTTTTTCTGGCTCAGCGTCATCGTCAGAATGTGATACTGATCCGTGGCTGCCTGGAGACCATCACATTTAAACCTTCGGTCACTAATGACCCCCCCCCCCCCCCACACACACACACACACACACCACCACCTCACCCCACCCTCATACACACACGTTCTTATAATATTACGTTGTGGGGACTTGCCATTCTTTTTCTACAGTCTAGCCCTGACACTTACCCAACCATTACTAGTACATGCCTAACCCTAACCCCCCAACGAGACTGCTCTTTATGGGGACCTGGCTTCAGTCCCCATAAAGAGCAGTTGGTTCCCACGATGCGTGACATTTTGTAAAACTGGTCCCTACAAGGGAACCTGAAACAAAAGCACATGCACGTCCAGGTCTAGTTTTATTTATAACAAGGCAGCAACATAGAAAAGGCAGAGTTCCAGTAATCCCAGAGCTCACCTGATTGTTTGTTTTACTTTCTTTGCATCTCACAAACACTGAATGAATAAAGAAACACAAAAAACTGTTGTTCTTTCAGAAAAGAAAAACTTATTTTATTTTTACAAAAATAACGAGATTGTGTTCCATTTTTAAGTGAAAGCTGAAGGTGTGTGTGGGTGTCGGGACTGGACGGAGGGACTCAGGTTTGAAACAATTGTTTGGTTTAAGGTGGAAGTCCTTTTAAAGAGATGAGTGAAGAGACCATCCATCCAACCATCCATCCAACCATCCATCCATCCATCCATCCATCCATCCATCATCCATCCATCCATCCATGACCCATCCATCCATCCATTCATCCATGACCCATCCATCCATCCATCCATCCATCCATCCATCCATGACCCATC